GACTTTATGTTTTGAGGAATGTCATTCCATGCTTTAGTATAAACATAGAAGAAAGACCTCTGGCCGTAACAGTTTTTAAAAGTTGGTAATATCAATTCAAAATTGTTTGTTTCTATTTTGCTGTAGTTTTTAAAAAGCTGTTTTACAACAACATGATAGAATTTCTGAAAAATGCAGAGTTCAGGGGTGTGCAAATTAAGTCGAACTCACTCATTAAGTCAGTGTTCCAGTACAGGAAAAAAAAGATGTGAAATTTGCCGCAGAGTTTTATAATTGAGAGGTAGAATTTGATGTGCAAACACAAACATGGATGCTTATCGAGATTGTTGGGAGAGGGAACCACGACACTWGATGAAATATTAACAATATTCTGCAAACAGAAAATATTCTCATGTTGATTCTGAGGAATGTTCCATGGGTCAGCTGGGATTTTAATGCTTTACAAATAGCTTTTGCTACATTTTTAAGTGTGTTAGTGCTTTAGAATTAGGGGACCTAAATATTAAAGTTAGTGCTTCAGAATTAGGGGACCTAAATATTAAAGTTAGCGCTTTATGGTTAGTGTAACTAAATTTTAAATTAGTGTTACCCACTACTATCAATCCTGATAGTGGAAAGGCTGTGAGAAGTGAAAATACCAGACTTTTTCTTCTGTTTACAGCAGGTGTTTACTAATGAAGATGATCCCCTGGAATTACGATCAACTCAAACGAACAGAGACGTACACGTGGGGATGCTCGGGCTCTGCAGTGGCAGCTGGTTGGAGGATCAACCAGCACCCCCTCCACCACCACTTTCAGTCAGATTAGAGTCCACGGTCTCTCACACACACACGACCCCTCCTTCACATCCACTTCCAACTGCACGGCCTTTAAGCCCCCCAACACCCCACTTTAACACGCAAAGTTCAAACTAATACGACAAACTCAAACAGATGCTTCATAAAAACAAGACAGGCAGGGTTCACTTTCAAAAATGTGTCGTTTATTAAAAGATTTCTCTTCTTGTGTTATCAATGCAAATAAGAAAAAACAAAKGATCAAGAAGATATTATCACATGAAGATGGGGTGAAACACAAAGCTCTGTTTAAAGACAAAATACAAACTGGATTGAGGGAGATGTCAGGGAGAGGGGAGGGCAACAGAGTCTGAGTGGGGGTGGGTGGGAGACTTACAGTCAGTTTCTARAGTATAATAATAAAAAAAGGCAGCTAAATAAAACAAGACATTGTTATATTCTGACCAATCAGCAGTGGTCGCTACAGCAGAAAAAAAAAGAAGAAAGGACGTAAATAAGTGCAACTGGTTTCTTATGGGGTGCCGTTTGTAAAGTTACAGTCAAAAATTACCACCAAGATTTTTGTTTTATTTAGACTTTTATAAGAAAAAAAAGAACTGATTTATTTTTCAAAGTCAGTTTTTCACCATATGATTCATACATTTATAAATGTCATAGTTTATAAACTAAATATTTAACTTAAAAATAAAATATTTAGTTTTGAGCTAAATATTTAGCTTGCAACTTAAATATTTAGCTAGCTAGCTAAATATTTAAGTTGCAACCTAAATATTTATGTAGCTAGCTAAATATTTAACTTAAATATTTATGTAGCTAGCTAAATATTTAGGTTGCAACTTAAATATTTAGCTAGCTAGCTAAATATTTAAGTT